CAGCACATTTGAGTTCCTTGTAGATCCAAGATGTTAAGCCTTTGTCAGACCTGGAGTTAGCAAATACTTTTTCCCAGTCTGTAGGCTGTTTCCTTGCTCTCTTGATGGTTTCTTTGGCTTTGCAGAAGCTTGTCAGTTTAATGAGGTTCCACTTGTCTATTTTATCCCTTATGGCCTGTGGGTTTTGGGTTTTGTTCAGGAATTGGATGCCAGTTCCAATTTCCATAAGGGTTTGTCCTTCATTTTCTAAGGTTCTTATGGTTTGAGGTTTTACATTTAGGTCTCTGATCCATTTGGAGTTAATTTTTGTATATGGGGATAGGTAGGAGTCCTGTTTCAATCTTCTGCATGTGGTCAGCCAGTTTTTCCAGCACCATTTACTGAATAGGTTCTCCTCTCCCCAGTGGTGGGTGGTGGAGGCTTTGTTGAAGAAGAGTTGGTTGAGAAATTGAGGTTTTGCTTCTGGAATCTCAGTTTTATTTCATTGATCTATATACCTGTTTCTATACCAATACCAAGCTGTTTTGATGATTGTAGCTTTATAGTAAAGTTTGAAGTCTGGTAATGTGATACCACCTGCTTTGTTTTTTATTTTGCTGAGGATTGTTCTGGCTATTCTTGGATGTTTGTGTTTCCATATGAATTCCTGTGTTGTTTTTTCTAGGTCTGAGAAGAATGTTGCTGGTAATTTGATAGGTATTGCATTGAATCTGTAGATTGCCTTCAGTAAGATGGACATCTTCACAATGTTGATTCTTCCAATCCATGAGCATGGGATATTTTTCCACTTGTTCGTGTCATCTTTGATTTCTTTGAGCAGTGTTTTGTAGTTTTCATTTTAAAGGTCTTTCACGTGTCTGGTTAGGAAGATGCCAAGGTATTTCATTTTTTTGTGGCTATTGTGAATGGAATTGTGGGTTTTTATTTGGGTTTCTGTTTGTTTATTATTGGTGTAAAGAAATGCGATTGTCTTTTGCACATTTATTTTATATCTTGAGACTTTGCTGAAGGCCTTTATCAGTGTAAGGAGGTTTTTGACAGATTCTCTTGGGTTTCAAGGTACACAATCATGTCATCTACAAAGAGAGATAACTTGACTTCCTCTTTTCCTATTTGAATACCCCTGATTGCCTTCTCTTCTCTGATTGCTCTAGCCAGGACTTCCAATACTATATTGAACAGGAGGAGTGAGAGTGGGCATCCTTGTCTTGTTCCAGTTTTCAGGGGAAATGGTTCCAATTTTTGTCCGTTTAGGAGTATGCTGGCTGTGGGTTTCTCGTAGATGACTTTTACTACTTTGAGGTATGTTCCCTGTATGCCTAGATGTTTGAGGGTTTTTATCAAGAAGCGGTGCTGGATTTTATCAAAAGCTTTTTCTGCATCTAATGATATAATCATGTGATTTTTGTTTTGAAATCTGTTGATGTATTTAATTACATTTATTGTTTTATGAATGTTGAACCAGCCTTGCATCCCAGGGATGAAGCCTACTTGGTCATGATGGATGATTTTTGAGATGTGTGTTGAATCCAGTTTGCTAGGATCTTGTTGAGAATTTTAGCACCTATGTTCATCAGAGATATTGGCCTATAGTTCTCTTTCTTTGTTGGATCTTTACCTAGCTTGGGTATCAATGTGATGTTAGCTTCATAAAATGATTTGGGGAGGGTTCCATCTTTCTCAATCTCCTGAAATACCTTCAGTAGGATTGAAATCAGCTCCTCCTTAAATGTCCTGTAGAATTCTGCTGGAAAGCCATCTGGTCCAGGGCTTTTTTTTGTAGGTAGTTTTCTTATTACTTAGTCAATTTCCTTGATTGTTATTGGTCTATTTAGGGTCTCAATTTCTTCTTGTTTCAACCTAGGCAGGTTGTGTGATGACAGAAAGTCCTCCATTTCCTTGAGGTTTTCAAGTTTGTTTCCATACAAGTGTACATAGTAGTCTCTAATGATCTTTTGTATTTCTTCAGGGTCAGATGTGACTTCATCTTTTGTATTTCTGACTGTGCTTATTTGAGTTTTTTCTTTCTTTTCCTTGGTCAGTCTAGCTAGGGGAACCAATTATGTGGTCGATCTTAGAATACGTTCCATGCGGTGATGAGTAGAATGTGTATTCTGTGGTCTTTGGATGGAGTGTTCTGTAGGTATCAATTAAGTCCATTTGGTCAAGAGTCGCATTGAGGTTCCAGATCTCATTGCTGATTTTTTGTCCTGATGATCTGCCTAGGGTTGTGAGTGGGGTATTAAAGTCCCCAGTTATGATGGTGTCAGAGTCAATATCTTTCTTTAGTTTTCCTAGGAGTTGCTTTATAAAAGTTGGTGCATATATGTTTAAGATAGATATTTCTTGTTGATGGAGTGAACCTTTTATCATTATATAGTAGCCCTCTGTATCTTTTTAAATTTTTGATAGCTTAAATGGTATTTTGTCTGAAATTAGGATCGCGACTCCTCCTTTCTTTTGTGTTCCATTAGCCTGAAAATCTGTTCCCATCCTCTTACTTTGAGTCTGTACATGTCCTTTCTAGTGAGGTGGGTCTCTTGAAGGCAGTATATTGTTGCCTGGTGATATTTTATCCATTTTGCCATTCTATGTCTTTTCAGTGGTGAATTTAGTCCATTCACGTTCAGGCTAATTATTGAAATGTGAGAGTTCACCCCTATCATAGAGTTCTTATAGAGTTGTTCTTCCACTTGGTTTATTGTCTTTCTTTTGTTTTGGGGGTTGGTTCATGTGTATTTTATTCTTTTTCCTGTACTCTTGTTAAGAACGTTGTTCTTTTTTTCCCCTTTTCTTCTGTGTTTAGTACTTTCTTAAGTGTTTCATGTAGAGGTGGTTTGGTGGCAGCGTAAGTTCTTAGGGATTGGATATCTGGGAAAGATTTTAATTCTCCCTCGCTGATGAAGCTTAATCTGGCTGGGTAGGCTATTCTTGGTTGAAATTGTTTATCTTTTAGGAATTTGAAGATAGGGCTCCAAACTCTCCTAGCCTGCAGGGTTTCTGTAGATAAATCTGCTGCTATTCTAATTGGTTTTCCATGGTAGGTGATCTGGCCTTTTTCTCTTGCTGCCTTTAGGATTTTTTCTTTTATGCCTACTTTGTTTAGGCTAATTATTATGTGTCTAGGAGTTCGTCTTCTCATTTTTTGTCTTGCAGGGGTTCTCTGAATCTCTTGTGTTTGAATTTTTGCATCATTGATTAGATAAGGGAAGTTTTCTTGAATGATCTCATGGAAGGTTTGTTCCAGTGTGGTCTCTGTCTCTCTTTCTGCCTCAGGAAAGCCAATTACTCTTAGGTTAGGCCTCTTGAGGTAATCGCTCATCTCTTGAAGGTTTTTTTCGGTCTTTTCGAGCTTGTTTTCTGTGTTTTTGAGAGTTTGGGTTAGTTCTATATTTTGGTCCTCAAGCTCTGCGATTCTTTCTTCTGCCTGGGTAATTCTGCTTTCCATGCTTATCAGTTTGTTATTTATTTCATTCAC